TAAAACATAATAATTTTGATTCATAATAAATAAGTTTGACTCATTAAAACCACGTTTAATTCAATCGTAAAGTATGTTTTATTCAAACATATTTTTTGGTTAATATAAATACTTATTTTTGAATTTAAAAAAATGTTTTCTCAGTAGTATAAAGTGTGAATTTTTAAAAATAATTAAATTTCAAAAAGAATTTATATCCAAATCATTTTAAATATTTTAATTCCCATGAAAAATAAATAGGTATTTAAATATTTATTTTAAAAAAATTATTCTAATTTTGAATGTGATAATTTAATATTGAAGTTATGAAAAAATTGGGTCGTCAAGTTTAATTTTTCGATATTTACTTTTTTACTACTTTTTTCTATCTTGAAGATACTTTTTGTTACTTTTTTAAAATTAATTATCCGCAGTACGAAGTCAGAAATTCAGAATTAATTCAAAAATAAAAATTTTCCACTTCTGACACGTTTTATATACTTTTTGAATGGAAAATATTTCATTAAGGTCCATTAAAGTCATTATTATGTTCCTAGTTTGACTTTTAGTCATGAGAATTAATTGAAATGTATAACTAATAAAAGAAGGGATTGTTCGTTATACAATAGAGCACACAGCAGTTTATGAAAATAAAACTGGTCAGTTTTACTCGCAGTTATTAGGTACCTTTTATATGCGGAGTTAATTTAATAAGGATGAGTTTATACCTTCGATAAGCGACCTGGTGGATTAAATTCACGCCTTAACCGCCATAAAAGGTAGTTTTAAAATTAGTTTTTAAATTCTTCAAATAAAGTGCATTTGATGTACATTATTTTTTTTTCTTATTTATGGTTATAATGGACATTTATAGCTATTAATATTATTTTACTAACAATCTGTTATTTTTAACTGACATTTAAAGCTATTAATTATTATTTTATTTACAATTAGAGAATTATTTATATCAATTAAAGAATTATTTATTATTATTATTATCATTTAGATTTAGAGAATATGTGAAATTGAATTAAGTGTTGAAAGAAGAGACATAAAAAGTTGCGAATATCATTAAATTGTTAAATTTGTACCAGCACTGAATTTTCGCATTTCGGGTGCATAACGAGGTAATATCGCGTGCAACGAACTGCATATATATATATATATAAACTCTCAGCAAATGGAAAAAACGGGTCTGAAAAATGAACCGATTGTAGATAATGATTGTAAATATCTTTTTTATGTTTCTCAAAAAAAAGTATTCTTGAGAAATAAAAATAATTGAATAAAATATGTCAATTTTACTGTTCGGATTTAAATTTACTGCATAGGGATAGGACACTATAGTAATATAGGTGTCTTAATGGTAAAATTAATTGAGAAAACTTTGTTGCTTTTTTTACGCACGCAAGACTGATTATACACTTTATACACTTAAAATAAAAACAGAAAGCAAATAAAGTACTCTTGTAAAAATTTTTAATCCAAAGTCACTTTGAATATAGCTAGCTAGAAGTTTTGTCAGCAGGCAATTGAGACAAAAGTTCTTTCAAGCCTTCATGAATTTCATACATACAGAATACTGAAGGCGTATTGAACTTTTTAGTGGCTTCCTCGTTATACTATAAACTGCAATTTTCAAAATCCTTCTGCCTCGTCGATAAAGTTTATTCACTGGCATTAGGAAGTCCGTGAATTTATTTTCTTATAGAGTATTTTCTTATATTTTCTTAGGGAATATTTTCTTCAAGTATAGCATATTATTTATTAGCTTATGTTTGGTGTGTATAGGTAAAGTAGAGTGTCTAAACTAATGTTGTTGATGGTTGAAATTGTGGCAGCAGAGGAATTAAATGCTTTGATATAGGAAACTGCTATTAAATGACACAACACTTGACACCGGCTTGTCGTGTCATTTGCTTCTGAATCGTGCCAAAACCATGCGAATAGGAACGTCAGGAATGCCCTTTAACCTGTGGGGGATAGTTTACGCCTCGCATTTCGCGGCCTGCCGCTTTTCAGACTCACACTGCCCACACAGATTCAGTGTCAATGAAATTCAACATACTTGTTAATTTTCCATAGTTTCGGAGGTATAATTACTTTGATCGCATATTTTTGATTTTCTTTATATAGTGTTTTTCCCTAAATTATAGTATAAATATTAGGTAGAAATTCACACAATAATTTTTCAGGGTTGCCACATGTCAGGGAAATCAGGGACAAGTCAGGGATTTTTATTAAAAGTATACTGAAAAAAATTAAATGTTTAGAATTTATGAGAAAATTCCGAATTTTTTTGTCTTTTCTGATGATCCTAAAGTTCTGAACGTTCAAATGAACGAAATTTATTTTTTTCTTTTTTAATTTAAAAATTTATTACAATAATTTTTTGTCGGTATAAAAAAATGAATTATAAAGTTTCTAAGTGTATAAAATTTAAGTTTTTAATTTTTATTGCGAACAGTAATTTATAAAAATATTAATAAAAAAAAAGTACTAATAAAAAGTGTTTCGTTCATTTGAACGTTCAAAACTTGTGGATCATCTTTTCTGTTTGCCTCAAACTATGAAATTACCACGAATTCTAAAAGAAAACCTTAAATTTTCTCTATTTCTGTCAACAATTTATTTTAAATAACTTAATTATATATTGAAGAACTGCCATAAAATTATTACTTATAAATCATTTAATGAAGAATTTTTTTTGAAAATTTTAATTTCAATTCTGTTAAAAATTTAAAAAAATTTTTTGTTCAATTTTAAAAATTTTAACGCAATTCTTTGAAAGAATTTAACTATCTTAATAAACATTAAAACTATTACCAGAAATTCAATTATTTTCAAAATTTAAAAAAAAAATTCTCGCCAACATTTTAATTATCTTTATAAATATCAAAATTCTTCGCCGAAATCCAATTATATTTTGGAATGTTCATAAAATTCATTGTAAAATTCAATTATTTTTTTATAAATAACAATATTCATCACAAGAATTCAATATTAATAAAAAAAATTAAAAATTCTTCGCAAAAATTTAAAAAAAAAATTCTCGTCAACATTTTAATTATCTTTATAAATATCAAAATTCTTCGCCGAAATCCAATTATATTTTGGAATGTTCATAAAATTCATTGTAAAATTCAATTATTTTTTTATAAATAACAATATTCATCACAAGAATTCAATTATTTTCCAAATTAATAAAATTCTTTGCAGAAATTCAATTATTTAAAAAAAATCTAAAAAAAATTGTCAACATTTCAATTATCTTTATAAATAAATAGCAAAAATCTTCGACAAAATTCAATTATTTTCAGGAATTTTAATAAAATTCATTGCAAAATTCAATTATTTTCAAAAGTAATAAAATCCAATTATTTTCAAACATTTTAATAAAATTAATTTGAAATTAGTTGTTGTTTACTTTTTTGTTTTCTAACTTTTTTTTAAAAATGTTTCTTTTTTAATATTTTCAATTTAAAAATTAATATATTGAAAATTATTGAATTCATGCAAAGATTAAATTGAATTGAAATTAAACATTTAATTATTAAATTTTATTAAAATTTTTAGAAAATAATTCTCAGAATTTTATTAAAATATAGAAAATAATTAAATTCTTTTAAAAAACTTCTTTAATTTATTGAATATAATTGATTTTGTTAATAGTTGTAAATAATAATTTCACTATTAAAATTTTATTAAAATTATTGATAAAAATTTTAACTTTTTTAAAACAATTTTTTTTAGAGTTTTTGTAAATAATTATTAAATTATTTTGAAGAATTTCTTTAAGTTTTTTCAATTAATGTAGTTTTTTTTGAATAATTTTAATTGAAAATTTTGAAAATAATTGAATTAGGCAAAGATGGTTTTTCAACTTTTTAAAATAATCGTGTCAGTTAATAATTATAATTAAATATTTGATTATTGAAGTTTATTAAAATTGTATTAGAAATTATTGAATGTTTGCAAAGAATTTACTATTTTAAAAAATAATTCAATTGTTTCGAAGAATTTATTAGAATTTTAGAAAATAATTTGACTTTTTCGAAAAATATTATTAAAAATTGAATTCTTTTATATGTAATTTTATTAAAATTTTAAAATTATATTAAAAATAATTGAATTTTTACAAAGAATTTACTACTTATAAAAATAATTTAATTGTTTCGAAGGATTTATTAAAATTTTAGAAAATAATTGAATATGAATATTAATAAAATATTTCTTTTTTTTAATATTAATAGTTTTGAATAATTTTCTTTACAGTTATTATTGACTTTGACATGTGACAATACACATCAAGTTTGTTATCAAAAGTGCAATCATCTGTTTTAATTTTAAATATATTTACAAAAAAAATATTTCTGTTAGAAATAAAATATTAAATATATTTTTCCATTCATTTTTTTTCTTCTTTTTTCCATGTTGAATGCGTAATATTTATAGTTTGGAAATAGTATTCCGAAAATTTGTTTTTTCATATTAAACGAATTTTACATGACACCTATATGTATATTGAATATCTTTGAAATTTTATCCTCACCTTTGATATTGACTGTCAGGTATTTATATTAAACGTCAGACGAACCTCGTAATCAAATTATGACCCCATTGACTCAAGTGCCATTGCCACTTTTAACCGATGAGTCGTATGAACACTTCAACACAACATATAGGTGTATATATGTAAGTGAAGATCAACTTGTTTCTCGAATAATATCTGCGTCGACGGTTTTTTTTTATTGGGAATCAAATTTTCATATAAAAAATTGAGAATGAATTAATTCACACTCAGAAAAAAATTTATTGGAAACAACCAAATGCATTGGTATTAACTACATTTTTTTCTTTCCTTAAACAAATATTTTTTTTAAATAAACTTTTTCTTTGACTTTTTTTGATTATTGATAAATTATATTAATTCTTTTAATTATATTAATTAAAAAACTATTCTTTAATGGCTTTTATTTTTTCTTTAATAATACTAATGAATAAATTGTTTTTTGTTGCAGCTTGTAGCTCGAATCAGTTCAAATGTAGAAATCAACAATGTATAGACATTAAACAATATTGTAATGGAGTGCCAGATTGCTTGGACGGTTCGGACGAAATAAAATGCCGTAAGTAATACAAATTTTCATTTTAAATATTAATTGTCGATAAATTAATATGCTTTACAATTTTTGGACAATGGTGCATTTTTTGAAAATTCAATTAGCTGTGTTTTATTAGTCCCAATTTTTAATTCAGGGTGTCTATTATTTTTTTTGGGAAGTTTTGAAATTGTACGAAAAAAATACTGCCACTTAAACATTTTTGAAATTTTTCTTTCTCTTTGGATTTATATTTTTAGGTTTCGTACTCACCTACTAAAACCTACTATTTACTATTTTTTTTACAATTAGCTTCTGTTTGGAATTTGGATACTTTTTATTTTAGATTTGTGACACTAAAAGATATTTTTTACTATGTTTGAGAATTAGCAATACTTTAAATTCGCTGATAATTGGAATAAAAAAATAATTCTCAAAAATTTTAATAAAATTCTTATTAGAAAGGATTCAACAAATTTTAATGAAGCTCTTCTTAACAATTCAATTATTTTAAAAAAGTTTTCGAAATTCAAGTATTTAGAAAGATTTTAACAAAATTCGTTTGCAAGAATTCAATTATTTTGATAAGTAAAAACATTTTCAGGGGAATTCAATAATTTAAAAAGATTTTCATAAAATTCTTGGGATGAATTCAATTATTTAAAAAGCATTTAATAAATTTCTTCAAAAGAATTTAATTACTTTTATAAATAATAAAATTTTTCTCAGAAATTCAATTATTTAAAAAGATTTTCATAAAATTCTTGACATGAATTCAATTATTTAAAAAAACACTTAATTAATTTCTTCACAAGAATTCAATTATTTTTATAGATAATAAAATTCTTCAAAGGAATTCAATTATTTAAATAAAATTTAATTAAATTCGTTGCAAGAATTCAATTATTTTCATAAATAATATAAAACTTATGTCAGGATGTCAATTATTTTTAAAATGCAATTTAAAATAAATTTCACGAAAAATGCAATTATTCTTAAAAAAATTTTTTCAATTCTTTGAAAGAATTCAATTATTTAAAAAAAAATTAATATAATTTGTTTAGTAGTATTTAGTAATGATTTTCAATACATTTTTAATTAATTTTCTTGAATGAATGAATTTATTTTCAAAAATTTTATTGAAATTCTTCCTAACAATTCAATTACTTAACAAAATTTATCGAAATTTAATTATTTAGAAAGATTTTTATAAAATTTGTTGCTAGAAATCAATTATTTTTATAAGTAATAAAATTTTTACAAGAATTCAATTATTTTTATAAATAATAACATTTTTCTCGTAGGAATTCAATTATTTAAAAAATTTTTTATAAAATTCTTCTCAGTAATTTAATTATTTCTAAAAAATTAATAAATTTCTTTACAAGAATTCAATTATTTAAAAAAATTGTAATAAAATTCGTTGCAAAAATTTAATTATTTTCATAAATAATAAAACTCATCTTAGGATTCTAATTATTTTTAATAGAATTTTAAATAAATTCCTTGAAAAATACAATTTTTCTTAAAATTTTTATTAATTTTTCAAAAGAATTCAATTATTTATAGAATTTTGAATATAATTTGTTTATTAGAATTTAGTAAGCATTTTGAATAAATTTTGAATTACTTTTTTTGAATTCCTTTAAATATTTTCAAAAAATTTTAGTTAAATTCTTCTTAACAATTTAATTATTATCAAAAATTTTGATAAAGCTCATTAGAAAAATTCAATTTTAAGAATTTAAGAATTTTCTAATAAAAAGTGATTAAAATTGAATTTCAATTAAAATTTTGAATAATAATTGAACATTAGAAGAGTTATAGTGTGAAGTTTTAGAAATAATTGAATTTCAAAAGATTTTTTGAATTGAAATCTTTGAAAATTTTAATTATTGTAAAACTTTAATAATATTTAAATTTTTATTTTCAAAATAAAATTAAAGTAAAATTTATTAAAAAATTCTAAAATATTAATGAATTTTGGAAAAATTGAGCTGTAAGTTTTAGAAATATTTTTAAAAAGACTTTGCATTGAAACCATTTCAAATATTTTAATTACTGTGGAAAAATAAAGAGATAAAATTTAAATATTTATTTAAAAACATTAATCTATTTTTGAATGTAATTTAATTTAGAAATTATGAAAACTTTAGTCGTCGTCGATTTAATTTTTCGATAGTCGATAGTCTTAAAGCTACTTTTTAAAAATTAATTTTCGAGTACGAAGCCTGTATTTTTCTTTTATTGTTTTACAATATTAATAAATTTACAAGAAAAAACTGTCAACAAATAAAAAATCAGAGAAATTTCAATAGAAGAATAGTGTTATAAGTAGACACCCTAAAAATTTTGTTCATAAAATTTTTAAAATAACTGATTTTCTTCTTCTCTAATTGAAATTCACTTTTCCCTTATTGCAAAGAAAAACGTTAATTAAAAATTCTCTCCCTGGCAACATTGTGTGTTTAAATTTTCTTTTATATAATACTCCCGCGCAGTGAGTTGATGAAATTTATTAATCGAGTCATTAAAATGTGAAGCAGTGGAGAAATTATTAAAAATGGATATAAAAGAAAACGTTTAGAAGGGCGTCGAAAACATGTTGCTTTTGTTGGGATTCAGTAATGTTGATGCATGTTGACCCGTTGTAGCATTATGCACATCTTTTGTTGACATGCACCATTGTCCGTGGAGTAAAGAACGGCTTCATTGTATTTTTTATTATGTACCCACGTGCACAGCACTTTCTGCGTCAATAGAGGTAGCTTAAGATTCTGAGATCAATGTTTTTCACCTTTTACTTGTTGGTCTATGAGTTTGACAGTCTTTAACCTTTTTCTTTCTTTTTTTTTTATTGTCGTTTTGATGACTGATATTTAACAAAGCTTAAGGATTTTTAGATTTTTTTTTCATTCACTGTTGCACATGATAGATATCTCATATTTTCTTTGCACTTTTTGTTATGTAAAAGCGAATTTCATATGAATATCTTTATTTCCTTTTTAAATATATTCGGTGGATTTCTATTTACACGCATAATATTGAGACGATATCGCAGTGATTTTTATTTCAATATATAAATGTTTTTTATGTTTATTGTTGGTAGATCAATTGTCATTCCGATGTGTGACTATCTGTATTAATAATCGTTTGTTGTTTTTGTTGCTTTTTTGTTTCCTAACTTTTTTGATAAATTTTCTTTTTAAATATTTTGAATTTTAAAATTACTCAAATTTTAATTACATTTTTTATGAAGATTAGATAATAACAAAAATAATTTTGCATTAGAAATCATAATTTAATTTCTATATGTAGTATCAATAAATTAATTTTTAGAAATTTCATATCACTTTTTCTGCTCTAATTAGTTCAAAATTTTTACTAATTCATATTTAGAAAGTAAATTTTCTAATATTATTTTTGCAAGAAAAATTTATAAATTATTTTATTTAACATTATTTTGCATAAAATAAGTGATTTTTTTAATTTTAGAAAAGCAATATTTTTTTATAAACAAAAAATGCTAGATAACTTTTATAATTTTTTTTTAATCTGAAATAATTTAATTTTTGCATAGAATTACATTAAATTTTTTTAAATAATTAAATTGCTTCGAAAAATGTTATTAAAATTTTGAAAATAATTAAATACTTTAAGAATTCGGGCTATTTTAAAAATAATTAAATTCTCAAATATAATTTTATTACAATTTTTGAAAATAATTTAATTCCATCTGAAAATTCTATTAGTAATTTTAAAAAAAATTCAATTCTTTCGAGGAATTTAATTAAATTTGTATAAAAAATAATTTAATTCTTCTAAAGAATTTAGACAACATTTTTGAAAATATTTAAATTCTTGCATAGAATTTTTTCTTAACCTTTTTGGAAAGAATTGAAATATTTAGATGAATTTTATTAAATTTTTTTTAAAATAATTAAATTATTTAGAAGAATTTTTTTTAAATTGTCTTGAAAATAATTTAATTCCTGCAAAAAATTTTATTATTCTTAATATAGTTGAAACTAAATTTTTCTGTAGAATTCAATTATTTTATTAAAATTTTTAAGGAAGTTTAATTCTATCGGAAATTTATTTAGTAATTTAATTTGTTTAGTATTGAAAATAAAATTGAATTCTTTCGGGAAATTTCGTTACAATTATTTTGGATATAATTAAATTCTCATAAAGAATTTTATCAAAATTTTTTTAAATAATTGAATTAATTCCCAAAAATAGTTGGATTTTTAAGAAATTTCATTAATAATTGTATAACGTAGAGTGTTTTCAGGACCTTAATTTTTGTCAAATAAAATTGTTTATATTGTGGCCTTGGGTCCAAAAGATTTGAGAAAGTTGTTAAAAATCAGCAATTATTACTTTATTTCATCGAATGCATTTTCACTGTGAACACAGCTCATCAGGACTACAGAAAAAATATAAAAAAGTTGTGTAAATAGAAAATATGAAATCAATAGCAACATTGTGTGTGGAATAGACCTACCACATTGTTCAATGATACAAATTTATAAAACTTTTATAATTAATAATAAATTTTATAATTAATAATTGTATAAAACACAATTGAATTCTCACAAAGAATTTTATTAAAATCCTTAAAAATAATTCAATTCTTTCGAGGAATTTAATTAAATAAAAAAAAATAATTGAATTCATCTAAAGAATTTAAACAACATTTTAAAAAAATAATTAAAGTCTTGCGTAAAATTCCTTTTAGCATTTTTTGAAATAATTGAATTCTTTAAAAAAATTTAATTAAAATTGTATTGAAAATAATTAAATTCCTACAAAAAATTTTATTACTTATAAAAATAATTCAATTATTTTTAAATTTCAATTTTAATTCAATCGAAAAATTATTTAAAATATTATTGAAAATAATTGAATTCTTTCAGGAAATTTCGTTACAATTATTTTTTATTTATATTTTTTATATTTAAATTCTCATAATGAATTTTATCAAAATGTTTTTAAATAATTGAATTCATTCTCAAAAATAATTG